TTACATAGAAAGAACCAATGTTCAAACCACGCGCGATCACTCACGGGACTAATTCCTTAAATCAAAGGGTCAGTGTTATCTCTCTATTACTCTCTTTTCTCTACATAGGCTTTTGGCTAGTTAGGTTTACAGCGAAGTTGTTGTCTGCCACAATTCAGAGACTCATTCATCAGATTTCTCATACAATAAGCAAACATGTAGAGCGCTGTATTTCCCAATAAGCAACTGCTCTCACATGTGAGTGATAGTGCATCCGTTCTCATGATAACCCATGCACACTGTAGGATATTAGCCTACTTAAAATGATAGAACTAAAATCCTATCCTATTTTGTTCTAAAATCAAATAAGAAATATCCTATTAGAATCCTATTGTAATCCAATTGGATTTTTGACTAGAGCCAATTCAGAGCTGATAGAGGATGAGTCATTTCATTTTCAAGTGATATGTAGCCTAAAGAGTAATTACCAACTGACCTTATATACCACGTGATGGAGTTTGTGCGTTCATGTTATAAGGAAGAAAAGAGTGCTGTCTGCTCTCATCTTATGTATAGGTATTTTCTTTTAAACTGTCAGATATAATGCTGCTTTCTATTAATGGCCTTATCCCTCAAAAGGGCTGTATTTAAATGCTTTGTCCAATGTTCTCTTTTGATTCAGGGTTCCCTCACATTGACCTGGACCATGAGCAATGATTCACCTGTTCTAACAAGCTTGACTGAAAACTCCACTGTGAGTACAACACACACACGAAGTGTAAACATTGCGACAGAAAATATCACAGTCAACTACTTACCACTGCCACATTATAGTTATACCCCATCTTTACTGAATAAACCAAAGCTGTATAAAAATACCACAGTAATTCACTCAGGTGAGTGTATGGCTAAAAGGAGCATAAGGAACATAAATAACAACACATGCTTTTAATCAAAATATTTCAGTCACCCCAAACACCAATATCCAAGTTATGTACTTTTTTGTAGAATAAAAAAAAAAATCTGATTGAAATTTCTAATCACACTACCGAATTACTAATATTTAAATTACCTTAAAAGTGTAATTTTTTCATGATGAAAATACACTGTGTTACCTAGTCCCCTCACCTTAATCCGCGTATTCAATCACTAATATTTAAATCACATACCTTGCTTACTCTTGTGTGGTCTACAGAGCATCTTATTGAATTACTTTGGTTTCACTCAATGCTCTACACAAGCTTTCACATAATCATTCATTATACAACACTAAATAATAAATACTCTACCAGCACCAGTAGCTTCTTCCAATTATTTCCACTCTAAACTGAAGAGTGATGTTTGGAGGAGAGCTGGGGAAGTCTGTGGTGGGGATTGCTCATGTGCATCTGCATCCTCCTCCCTATGAGATCTTTTTTTTTTTTTTAGCTTGCAGAGGCCTCATTTCCCTCTCAATCAAGAGAGTTGGCAAATTGAATTAAGGATCTTTCTGACATTTCGATTAGCATCCTCTCTCAGTTAGCTATTAGCATTAATTAAACTGAATACTGTGGAGAGCAGTGCTGCGACATGCAAAGTGATGCACAAAAGCACTGTATAAAGCTGCATCTTAGCTCTCTTTGATTAATGTTGAGTTTTATGCCCTTTCAGTGTAGCTCTGACTGTCTTTTGGTGTTGCCAGGACGTGCCAGTGTCAGTGGGCCAGGTGGACAGCTATGTGTTACTGCTGGTTGTGCTGAGTGTGTTTGCGGGAGGGACCCTGGTGCTGCTGTCACTGCTGGTGCTCTTCTGTCACCGCTGCTGCCTGGGTGGGCGCCGCTATTCTCGGTGGGTGTACCCTAATCTCTGTAGTTCTGCATATCTTGAGTCATACATACAGTCATACATTTTCAGACAACATAAACAAATATAACTCATATCTATTTCATAGAGCAAGTGACGACCCTGAAAAGACAAATACCACTTATGCCGAAGATTCTCAGCCCACCCAAGGTGAGAGACGTGTTTTTATGACCATCTAATTTACTCTGCTGTGAACACTTACTCTTTAAGACTATGTCTTCACTTGTCCTTGTCTCTTTTGTGCAAAAAGAAATCACCATTCGTTTGGATGAATCAGATGCTCTTTCAGCTTCAAGCTGTCACGATGGGGACTCAGAGCGATTTGTCTCCACAGGCATCATTGGCCGTAGAGTCTCCTTTAATGAATCTGCACTTTATGAACAGGAAAAGACTGCTCAAGACAGAGGACGACGGTGAGCTCACAACAAAAATAATTATTGCATCATTAGTTGAAACAGTTCGTGAGTGATGTTGCTCCACAGATATACACTCACAGAAGGAGACTTCCATCACTTGAAAAAAGCCCGTTTGACTCATCTGCACTTGCCTCCCGCCCCATGTAATCTGAAGATACTGACCATTATGGAGTGTGACTCAACTGAAAGCAGCACAGTGAACATTAATGAGACCCCAGCATCCAAAGTGCCCCTCAGCATCTATCAGGTCCACTCTCATCTGATAAATGAATCGCCATTCACTCAATTCAAAACAGATCTCTAATGTACTTGATGTATCTCTTTAGTTAAGTGAGAGGAAAATCCTTGGGGATCCTCTGGAGTGGGTTGGAGGCTTGCCGGGGGACCCTCATCACTCTGTCATAATGGACCAGAGTAGACAGTCTTCCTTAGTCAGAAGACCTCCCCACACACGCTCACAAACAGTAAGTCATATTCAGTTGTATAACTTGTATTGACTTAGCAGCCATTGACTATAAATAGACTAACCCAAGTGTTCCATTAGACTTTATTTTCAATCTTGAACATGTGCACCAAGATAACGCTAGATTTACATATTACTGTATATTGGGACATTGGGACATAATGTTTTTAAATAACAAATAACAAGTTACCAAGGCATTCTTATTCTACCTTTGCCTCAATCACACTAAAATGAACTCTCAGAACCTGTTTTCTTTCTTACAGATGGAGACATTTGGAAACAGGCCAGAGGCAGAATGTAAAATGGGCTTGGACAGTGACTCAAATCAAGCCTTAGGGCAGACGTCAGTTCTGAGGTTTTTCTCCAAACTGCGCCGTCATGCCAGTCTGGAAGGTGTGGGACCATACTTTAGGAGGTGGAAGTTTGACTCAAGCCATCGGGCAGCAAGCCTGGATGATAAAGGTCTGCCAAGCTGTTTTATATAAAAGTTAATTTAATTATTGTCAGTAGTTATTGATGTTTGTTTTTAAATTAGGATCTCCCAAAAGGCGTCCCTTCCAACGACAAAGAGCTGCAAGTGAAACAACAGATCACACTGAGGAGGATTCTTCTCTCAGAGACAACACAATTGAATCTATTCCACAATCTCCCATTGACAGCAGTGGACTCCAGTCTTTGTCTGCTGAGTGTTTGTCCCATCCAGCCACAGCACCTGCACCCTCTGTCTTCTTCAGGTATGTCCCCTTTAACCAACTTTTATAATTCACAAGGTATGATAAACACACTGACATGTCTCTACCTGCGCAGGCTAAAGTTGGAGGCCATGATGGAGGTTGAAAACAACAATAGCAGAGAAAGACCTTTCTATGATGCTCTGGGACAGGAAACTGCTACGGCAAAAGAAGAAAACAAATTGGAGAAAGTGATCAGCACTAACCCTGGTGGAGCCAGGCATAGTTCTATTGAGGAGGATGACTTGTTTGTCCAAGAAAGCCCACCAAAAGAGGCAGACCAACAAGAGAAGCAAAACCATATTGAGACTGAAATTGTGGATGGTGATGACGTGGTGTTGGGAGCCATGGCAAGACAGCGGGCAAACTCTGGTTCATCGATATCCTTCACCCGTCAGGAGAGCACTGAGGCTCCCCCTTCACTCTACAGAGATATATGGAGTTTACGGGCCTCTTTGGAGCAATACGCTTCTTCAGACCAGAGCAGCACAGATCGAGAGTCCATCCGGAGTGATGCAGATAGCGTCTCATCTTTTGGAGGGGCCGGAGCTCGCTCTGGTCTGAACACCTGCCTGTCCCAGGACTTGGATGATGAACCTGAGGGCGAAAGTGAAGGGGAAGTGGGGGATCGAGGTCTTAGAGGTCCCAGTGGAAATGACGATGCAGGCAACGGTGCTGTGGGCGATGGTGAGTCAGGAAATAGGAAGCTGTTACAAATGGACAGTGGATATGCCTCCATTGAAGCACCCTCGAGGGCCCCTGAAGACATGCGGCTGTTCGGGACATCTGGGGCATCTCGGGGGAAGACCGCGTCAGAGAGGAGATTGTTCTTCACTAACTCTGGACGAAAGGGTTCAGTGTGTGAGAGTGTGGAGGCCAAGCTGCTTCAGGAGGAGCTAGAGGATGATCTTGTAGACAGCAATGACAAGCTTCATAACAGCACAACTCAGTTGGTTACAGTTCAAGAGCCATGTATAAAACCCACTCCTTCCCAGCCTCACGAGTCTACTTCCCATCTCATGTCTACTGTGATGAAACCACAGCCTCCAAGTCCCCATAAGCCTCGCCTCCGTCGCCGTGACTACAGCATTGATGAGAAGACAGATGCTCTTTTCACCGAGTTTCTCCGCCATGATCCCCGGTTTGACCAGCCAGACTCTCCACTGCGCGCCAGGCGGCGCTCACGAGTTCACCTGAGGAAACAGTGGCAGAGACACAAGCAATACAGCGATCCAGGGTCAAGTGCTGGAGGAAGGTACTCTCCATCTTTGGACAGGCAGAGATTCACTCCACTCAGGAGAGGAGACAGCGCAGGGTACCTCCTTGACACTAGGTATCACAGCACACTTTCACGAATAGCAAGTGCTGCAGACGAAGAAGCCAGTGAGGTTGCATCCAGTGAGGCAGAAACAAAACAAAGCAATGAGGAAATAAAGCCAGTTGAAGCTGAATCTACAAAGGAAGTAGAGACATCTGTGAAAGAAGAGATGAGGTGCGAGGCTGATGCCGACTGCGTTTCTAAAAACAAACACACTGGAAGCACAACCAACACAAATATGGCCACTGAACAATCAAGTCAAATCAATCCAAGAGTCAACAATAGAAACAATAACAGCAGTCAAGTTATGCTATCAGAGAGCAGCCTGGCAGACAAATTGGTGATGTCGGTGGAGGAGAGACTCTATGGGGGTTTGAGAAGTGGAGACAGAGAGAAGCAGGGAGAAACCAAAGGAAATGTAACAACTGTAACAGCCTCCCCAGAATTTAAACCCAAGTGATACATCATGATTCAACATATTGTAACCAGACGATCATAGAAATGTGTATGGTTATGTTTACAAAGTACCAAAACATCATGCTTAACACAAAAACAATATCCCTTATGTTGCAAACCTTGTGATGTGACATGTAAAGGCCCTTAAAGCGACTTTCTTCATCATTCATTAATACTGTAATAGAATACATACTTATTTTGGATGAAAACATTTTAACTGTGAATTTTTCTCTGTGAGTTTTCAGCATGCTGCTGTATGTATGCTACTGTGTAGGCCTATGTAAATAATGTTCTGTAACTTTGAAAAAGCACTTTGAGGGGAACAAAACAGTAGTGTGGTAGAGTTTCAAACACCCATTGATATCATGAAACCATTATAAGTGTCCTTTTATGACCATCAAGGTAAGAATATGTGTCTTGTTAAGGAGCAGAATAATTTAAATGAAATGTGAAGAAGATACATAATTTGACAAGATAACAGTAGCTGCAGTTACATGTGCACTCAAAATCAGATTCATCCATTCATCCATTTTCTTATGCTTATCCGGGGAAGGGTCGAGGTGGCAGCAGTCTAAGCAGGGACTCCCAGACTTCCTTCACCCTGGATACTTCCTCCAGCTCCTCCGGGGGGACCCCGAAGCGTTCCAAGGCCAGCTGAGAGACATAGACCCTTTAGGGTGTCCTCGGTCTTCCCTGGGGCCTCGTGGGACATGCCCAGAACACCTCCCCAGGGAGGCACTCAGGAGGCATCTGAAATAGATGCCTGAGCCACCTCAGCTGGCTCCGCTCAACATGAAGGAGCTCCTCCCGTGTGACTGAGCTCCTCACCCTATCTCTAAGGGAGCGCCCAGCCACTCTGTAGAGGAAATTCATTTCGGCCCCTTGTATCCGCGATTTTGTCCTTTTGATCATAACCTAAAGCTCATGACCATAGGTGAGGGGAGGAACGTAAATTGACCAGTAAATCGAGAGCTTTGCCTTTGGGCTCAGCTCCCTCTTCACCACAATGGTCTGATAGAGCGACCACATCACTGCCGATGCTGCACTGATCCGCCTGTCAAACTCACGCTCCATCATTCACTCACTCGTAAACATGACCCCGAGATACTTGAACTCCTCCCCTTGAGGCAGGGACTCTCCACCCAGAGGGCAAGACACTTTTTTCCGATCAAGAACCGTGGCCTCGGATTTGGAGGAGCTGATCTTCATCCCAGCCTCTTCACACTCAGCTGCAAACTGCCCCAGTGCATGTTGCAGGGCAAACACAGCTCCTGCTCCAGTCATACAGAGACTGGACTGCCCTTAGCAAAGGGCCCCGGAACCTCATACTCCCGGAGAACCCCACACTGGACACTACAAGGAACACTGTCAAATGCCTTCTCCATATTCACAAAGCACATGTGGATTTGTTCGGCAAACTCCCATGAACCCTCAAGCACCCGATGGAGGGTGTAGAGCTGGTCCATTGTTCCATGGCCAGGATGAAAACCACACTCCTCCTCCTGTATCCGAGGTTCGACTATCGATCGGACTCTCCTCACCAGTGCTCTGGAATAGACCTTATCGGGGAGGCTGAGGAGTGTGATTCGATTCCCCTGTAGTTGGAACACACCCTCTGGTCCCCCTTCATAAACAGAGGGACCACCACCCTGGTCTGCCAGTCCAGAGGTGCTGTCACCAGCCGCCACACAATGTTGCGGAGACGTGTCAGCCAAGACAGCCCCACAACATCCAGAGACTTAAGATACTCAGGACGGATCTCACCCCCACCCCGGAGCCTTGCCACCGAGAAGCTTACTAACCACCTCAGTGACTTCAGCCAGAGTGATGGACGAGTCTGCCTCTGAGTCCCCAGTCTCTGCTTCCTTCTCGGAAGACGTGATGGTGGGATTGAGGAGATCCTCAAAGTATTCTTTCCACTGTCCGACAACATTCCCAGTTGATGTCAACAGCTCTCAGTGCTGGTGAAGCACTGCTTATCCCTCCTGAGACATCAGACGGTTTGCCAGAATTTATTTGAGGCCAACCGAGTCCTCCTCCATGGCTTCTCCAAACTCCTCCCAACCTCAAGTTTTAGCCTCTGCGACTGGCAGAGCGGCAGCACGTTTGGCCTGCCAGTACCCGTCAGCCAACAAGGCCCAATACGACTGCTTCTTCTTCCTGATGACATCCTTTACTTCTAGTGTCCACCACCGAGTTTGGGGATTGCCACCACGACAGGCACCACAGACCTTACAACCACAGCTACGAGCGACTGCCTCGACTAGAGAGGCAGAGAACATAGCCCACTTGGACTCCATGTCCCTACCCTCCTCTGGAATCTGGGAGAAGCTCTCCTGGAGATGTGAGTTGAAGCCCCTCTGCCAGAGGGCTCTGACAGACGTTCCAACAGACCCCACTACCACAGAAATCTATTAACAGAACACCACTGGGGTTTAGATGAGGGAGGCTGTTCCTCCCTATCACCCCTCTCCAGGTGTCACTGTCATTGCCCATGTGGGCATTGAAATCCCCCAGTAGAACAACTGAGTCATCGGGGCACTGTCTAGTACCCCTCCCAAGAAGGCTAGGTATTCTGCACTGCTGTTTGGCCTGTAGACCGACACAACAGAGAGAGGCCTGTCTCTGACCTGAAGGCACAGGGACGAGACCCTTTCATTCACTGGGGTGAACTCCAACACACGGCAGCTGAACCGTGAGGCAATGAGCAATGGGCCGTTGAGGCCCCCACCTTCGACTGCTGTGGATTTCGATTTCTTTCTGATCATGCTCTCATCATATCAGATTTTTCAGTTTATATTTATGTAACATCTTAATAATCTTAATGGTCCAGAAATGAAATTATAATTAGGTGTTGGTGTGCATATGGACAAGGCCAGTGAGGGGATTAGATACATTAATATTTTTATACTCATATTTGGTCTATTTTTGTAATTTTTGTTGCTTGTTAGCCATCTGTCTCTGCATAATTTAAGAGTCAGTATCCAGGAGTGTTCATGGTCATGTTTACCAATGTATTATTTATTAGAGAGAGAATGAAACTGAAACCAGAATCTTGTGTTGACAAGTAGGTTGTTTAGAAAAATAATGTGACTCTGAAAACACACTGTGGTAACTTATTTTAAATGCTGAATTTCCAACAAAAAATAAATGTTCCAAATAGTTAATGCCCATTTAAAAACAAATTACTCAAAATAGGTGAAGACATATTTTTTTTTTTTTTTTTTGTATGAATGTTGCAATATCAATTATATCTGTTTGTTCCAGTTTGTTTTCAATGAGAGTTTGGCTGTATGTTAAAACTGAAGACAAATTTTTGTGAAATGAATAGGGATAAGAACTGATGTGTGTGGTGTGATCATTTATAGCATCTACCAACATCCATCCACTGCACTGGGGTCAGATCACTGACAAAAACAACCTGAACAGGATTAGCTGTTTAACTATCAGATTACAGATTTGTTAACCTGGTTTAACATTTTTGTAAATACTGTGTCTATCCAAATGAAGCAAAAACTGATGCAAACTTCAACATCTTTTCTGTTAGCATAAATAAACAAATGTGAAATTATATGTCCACTACAGCCTCAGAAAGAGGTGCCATTTTTCCACCCAAAATATGTGATTTTAAAACATGAACTTAATATGGAAAATTTGTGGAGCCAAACAAGGTTGCTTGGGCATTTCTTTCAAAAACTATTAATCTCCCATAGTCCTCGATCTGAAATTATTTTAAAATTCTAGAATGTAAACATGAAACCCTATATAAAGGGAAAGGATTACATTATTTTTCACTTGTGTCATGTGAGAAGCTGTGGTGTCAAACACATGTATTTCCATAGTAATGGATCAGTTGTGTGTGAAATCCCACATAGTTCTGATGCAGAAAAACGTGCCAAGGCATTCTTTTCGAGTGGTCCTTGCTGACGTAGAAGGCACTGCTCCCTCCTCCATCAGAGCAGTGACTCACCTGCTCAGTGATCTATTACTAGACTGATGATGGACCAGGCTGCGTAAGAGGAGAGTGCTTTAGATGTGATCGGCACATCAAAGAGGCTTCCATGGAAAACTGGCAACTGTGACTGGGATGCCGATCCACAGTGCCTGCAGCCCAGCTACTTTAGCTCTATTTATTCCCTAATCTGACAACAAAACTGCTGTTATAACACCCTCTTAGGAAGACTAGTACTAAAATGGACACCAAGAATGACCAAATAGCAGTACATAACAACTGAACTGTATTGCATAACAAAAATAGACTCAACTTAAATGAATAGGATCATTCAACAAGACCTGTTCAGGACATTCATATAAATAATAATTAAAAAATATTTTTGAAAAAGAAAATACTTAAAATCCCTAACAGACCAGCAGTGGAGTTCAAGGCTTCAGTCTTTCAGTCTGCTTTCTGTTTTCTTCAGCTCAATACAGCATGCAGGTTTGTGTTGGTGGGAGTTAAAAGGACTATTATAAATGTTCTCAAAGATTTAAATACAGAATATGATAAGATTTTTTCTTTAATTGTTACAACATCACAATGCTTTTAAAACTGTCATTAGGGTTCTGTCAAAACAAAATGTAATAAAATAAAACACTAGTGGGCCAAAGTGAACAGAGGCGATCCTTTGAGTCCAGTACAACACTTTGAAGATGAAGATGGGAAGAGACAGAGGAGATGAGTATTTCTGGAGATGAAGGAGAAAAGGAGCACCATCTTGACAGCCAGGGGATCTTTGATTAATTTAATTTTCTAATTTGGCGTCCCTTCATAACTCAAATAACTCGGCACACTAGAAGTCCAGTTTCTAGAAGGACACCAGTCTTAGCAGATTTATCTCCAAACTTGGACCAGTCCAGGACAGACAGACCTGTGGGAATAGTAAACTTTAATGATATTAAAGACAGATTAGATTTCATAATGCAAGTTTACACAGGGAAATGTAAAATAGTTCTGTTATAACCAAGGATCAATCACAGCAGCGTGCTATGCCACACTCACACCCTGTAGTATGGGCAGATATTTAGAAGATGATTAAGGAATACAAGTCCCTTTTTCAAGTACATACATAAGACGATGTGAAAACTGACTGAGTGGTGGTGGGTCATTGCACTACCAACCCAACATCAACCCTTTTCTATTACGCATCTCCCATCTCCCTGCAATTCAACTGAGACAGGGAGCTACTGGAATCTACATAACAAATGGTGCTTGCGAAAAAGGTACAGGTCATTTAGAAATATTAGGCACTGAAAATGTATAAAACCAGGACACACTGAAAACACACTGACGAGTGCCGCCTTCTTCAAGCTTTGGTGGCATTGAGTTCTTGGGTGAGTGTCTGAGACTATTCTTTTTATTTGGGGAGTCTTTTCTTAATTCTTAATAGTCAAAAATGAAACATTTTGCATATAGTAATGTATTACATTATGCTGAGCATCAAGATGTTTGAGTTTACTAATAGATTCTAGGACTAGAGCAAATGAAGATGAGCGTACACTGCGCAATTTTGTAAACACTCACATTGTAAGCAGCTGAAATTTGGCCCGACTTGAGCTGCCCCAAAACATCTCAAATTCAGCCTGAATATCACACAGTGTAAGCCCAGCTTAAAGCTCAAACACACACCAGTGAGTTGGGGGGGGGGGTCACTGTTGTTTGCAGGTGGAGAGCTTGCGAATCTTGCTGGCTGTGGAAACTCCTTTTCGTGAGGGGTTTGATGAGGAGGATGATCGCCTTTCTGCTTTGGCTTTGTTGTTGAGAGACACCCCCTCTGTTCCATTTGCACAAACTGGTTTAGCCATAGCAGGACTGTTGTCTGCAGTTGCTAGATCTTCATCAGACACTTGTCCTAAAGACAACAAAAATAAACCAGTGTTTGATAATTCAGTTTGTAACATCTACTATAGTATAAAATGTCCCAATACACAACCAATAAAAAAAAAAAAATCATAGCTACAAACTGTAGCAAAAATACTTTGTTAAATGTCTTGAAAGAAGATCTGCAGAATGGAATAACCATTCACACTCAAATACTTTATTTAGATGGGACTCTTATTTTACAATGAAGACTGCTCGCTCTGTACTTCCATTGCATCCATCTGTATTAATCTTGTACTACAATGTCAACTGCACCTAGTGCACAACAATGTAGACACACAGTACTGTACATAACCACATAAGCCTCAGTTTTTTTTACTCTACCCTACACTCTAGTGCACTTTTGTTTTACAAACTAAACTAGTATTTCTTGCCTATTAGCAGACATTATTCACCTGGTACTGTGAAGTCCTGAGTGTAAATGATCTCATCCTCTCCATCGTAGAGTTCATCATCATCCTCCTCCGTGTAGCCGTGCAGATCCTCCAGATAGGGGACCACGGTCATACTGCGCCAGGGGTCTCTGCTCTCAGCATTGGCTGGAATTGGCACCGGGCGCTCTGATGGAGGGTGTTTCTTACGCACCCAGCTAAGCCATATTGAAAAAGGTGAAATGTATACAGTAAAAAAAAGTATATTACAAGATGGAACATTTCTTTTTAATATTTTAAGATATAATCACTCACTTGTGTTGTCTTATGTTCTGTATAGAAAACCTCTTGGCAGGATCATACTCCAGCATCCCTGATTAACAAATTATGTTATTTACTCACTAATGCCATAATCTTAAATATATGTTTTTTATGCAGCTATAAATCACTGCTAGAACAACGGTTACATAAATTACATTATTGTTATAATCTTCAAAAAGTGCTGTGAACTAGTTTAATTTAATGACAAGCAGAATAGAACATTCTTTGCACTGATAACAGTGTATATTCTTCTGCTGCCTCCAAATCAAACTAGCACCAGAAAGTTTGGCTGGTAAACTCCTATTCTACAATTCCACCTACTGGATGCGAAAAAGTTAAATTATACAATTTTCCTCAGCTTTTTAGCACACCCTTAAAATGTTTTCAGAGTAACACACAAACCTTGCAGCAGGTCTGACAAAAGAGGTCCACACTCCTCAGGAATAGTGTAATCTCCCTTTCCGATATTTTCAAATAGCTTATAGATATTGTCCCCCTCAAATGGATAAAGACTTGTTGTAATGTTGTATCTGCATGAAACACAGACAGAAGCATTTGTAATGGTCATTCACTCTTCACTTTTCCCTTTTTCATTTGTCTTTTTTTTTTTTTTTTTTTACTAACAGTGTTACTCCTGCAGACCAAATGTCCACTTTAAAGCCTGAAAAGGTATCCAGCCCATTTGCAATTTCTGGAGGTTGGAAAGCCGGAGAGCCCTGGCTGGTACGACATGTGTCATCGTCAGCAAATGGATGAAGAGCCTACAAATAACATAAAAGAAATCTAATTGTTTTTAATCAGTAAAAATATCTTTTCATTTTGTAATCTTAAATTGTGAACAGTTACCTCTGCTACACCAAGGTCTGAGATCTTTAATGTTCCATCAGTGGTCAGCAGCAGATTCCCCGGTTTAATGTCTTTGTGGACTATTCCCTGGCTGTGCAAATATTCAAGGCCATCTATTAGTTGGCAAAAGTACCTGCAAAGGGTAAAGGTTTTTAAATAATATGAATGACATCTGGATTAAATGGTTACAACCCAAGTTTTCATACATGCTGCCAAAGTAAAGGCCATGGTGTCTTGAATCTAAATTTGGGTCTGCGGCTGAGACTGCAGAGTGTGTTGGACTAAATATAGCCAAAAGGACTGAGAGAAAGAGAAGACACTCACCCGTGAGCTTGAAATACTGGAAACCTTTTCTCTGGAACACTGTCCAGCATTTCCTGCATCCCACATACACAGTACTCCATCACCATATACGTGCACCAAGTCAAGGGAAGTTAGCAGTATTTACATATAAAACAAGCAGAACACCACATGATGTAAACTAACAACAAACTTGACAAGGATATATTTTTTGCTTCTCTTCATTGTAGAGAACATCTACTAACTGAATCACATTCTTGTGTTGTAGTCTTCGTAGCAGTTGAATTTCCCTGTAAATTCAGAGATTATGATATTGATGAATAGCTGACTGGGGAAAGGAAAAAAAAGAAAAGCATTGTGCACACAACAATAGTTACACTAGTCATATAAATCTGATTTCTGAATTTAGATCTAATTTGAAAGCCTGTTTGATCATAAAAAATTGAATATATTTGTGCTTTTCCAGACACTCAATTGCTTTACAACTTCTTGCATTATTCTTTCACTCCACACTGTGGTGACAAGGCTGTCAATCTGTACCAACAGCCACACTGTCCAACAGCTATCACTCACCCACATATCACATTCATGCACAGGCAACTATGTGCAATTGTGCATGTGGTTTGGAGTTCAAACTTTGGAAGAAGAAACTTATCATTTTTTGTTGTGTTAAAGGTACTGATCAAAAGTGTGAATTTTATCTTCAGGAAATTAATAAAGCCATTTGTTTTATTAGGACAGAAAAACCTGTGAATGATCTTGACTGATCATAATGAGAAAAAATATATAGATTTACTTGTTGGGTCACCTAGCCTTAGACTGAACAGTATTACTCAAGAATGATATGGCAGTAGGATAGTAGACATATAGCAACTGGAGAACACTGGACTGCTGAAAGATTAAATTTTTTTTATCTAAAGTAATTAACAAAAGCATATTTGGGTTTCAAGAACCTAGACACAAGAAAAATAATAATCCTCCTGTCTCTCAACTCCCTTGTTTCACAATTGCTACTTGAAATAAGAGAAAGAGATGAATGCTTGTTATTTTATATTGTCATTCATATGCAGTCTTGTTATGACATAACATACATGCTGTCATTACTCAGATTTATATACATTTACAAATTGTACTAATGAAATGTACTCACTTTTTGACATTAGCTTCTCCATTAGGAATTCTCCTCAGCTTCTTCTTCTTCAGTATCTTAACAGCTCTACGACAGAGAGTCTCTGAGTCCAACATCTCTTTGACTTTACCATAGGATCCCTCACCCAGTAGGTCCCCCATAAGGTACTTTCCTATTAGCTTAGCTCTCTTCCGGCGTGGCTGATAGATCACCTCAGTTGAGTCAATACGGTGAATAAAAGTATCCATCAGTTCATTTTCATTGAGATAGTCAAGTTGATGAAGATCACCGGTGCTCATGGTGGATTATCCTTGATTCAGTCCTCTGTGTAAAAAATATGCTGTACTCTTTCTGATTGTGGAGAGTTTAACCAAAATATGGAATGCAAAAACAAGATCTTTGAACGTGTGTGCCAAGTTTTAAACTTGAGAAGAATCGACAGGTTAGATCCTGTCACACTCAGCACAGATTCAACAGACGTGCATCCTTATTGGGTTGATCAGATAAACTTAACCTCTATGTATTGGAATTCCACTTGTAGGTCACTAATACTAGTCAGATGTTGATAAAAACAAAAAGCACTGCTTTAAGCACATGCGGCATTCTTTGAGTTTATGCTCCATCGCAAACCTTTTTTTAGGATTCATCAGTGTGTTGTATTATCCTGGATCCAAACAAAATACAACAGGGATCTGGTCGGCTCCTGTGGGTCACTGACCATTTAGACCACACCGCTTCATTTTTAATGTGTACCTGACAACATAAAAATCAATTCAGGATTTCATCATGTAAGTCTTTCTTGACAACCGTCCATGAACGCAGTAGGTTACTGTGCAGAGCAAATGTGATTATTAACGTGATACCTTTAGTAATATGGCATTGCAATAATTAAAATTATAAAAATATACGCAGTTGATAGCAAGAAAGTATCGTTCAATAAACTAGTACTATGTCAGCATGAGTGTCTTCATAGTTGCATCACAAATTATAATGTAAACAAGCTGTTTCACCAAAGCTGCACCAATGCTTGTTTTGTTAAAGCGACCAGATTTAGGATTATAAAGTTTAGCAGTAGCATTTCTGTTGTTAGCCTCGGTGATAAGCAGAAGCTAATCAACTTTGGGTTTGACGTTATAGCATTGCCGCTAGCCTTCGCTAGCTCACTTCTTCGACTAAAGCGCTACATAAAGATGAAATGCTTTGCAGGTAAAGATGGTCTTCCCATAATTGTAATAATACTAAGCAATAATCTGAGATTGCATACATAAAACTAGAAGACACCGTGCAACTATACCAAGCTAGAACATGCTAACCGGGGTGTGCATGGCTAGCAGTTAAGTCCTACGAATAATCGTAAAATAAAGCTAACTTGAGTACGGTAATACATATGTATACCTTTTGATGGTTTTCGCTTTGATGTCAGTCACCGTGAAATATGTTTTGCTGGTGCTGAGAAAGCTAACTAATGTTGAATCTTCGCTTTGCTCTGCTACTCAGGTTGTCGCCATCTTGTTTACCTCCCCTTCAACTCACTGACAGCCTCTACGTTACTGCGTCAAACCAAACTTTTTGAGATGGGAAGGACGAAAAGATATGAAGGATCCAAATGCGGAAAGAGCCCAACTCATTCACGTTATATTATTCTAAATACTAGTCGTTTACTGCAGCGTGGCAATCTTCTGCTATGTTAATGTGTGTTTTATTTATCATAGTTTACTACTGTGATGAGGTTGTGACCATTCCTAAACAGTTGTTTTGTGTATGTCCACTCAAAACGTCCTGCTGAAGTATGACCCTATTCGGGTAAGCCAAGAATACACACTTCTCCGATACTTCAGGAAGATGATTTGATGCTATAGAACAGGGGTGTCCAAACTTTTTTCATCAAAGGCCACATATCTAAACACAGACAAAGCCGAGGGCCGATCGAGGGCCGTAGACTGATGCTCAATACAGTGAATAATTGAAATCTGTGCATGTTTAACACATTAGAATGAGCCATCAGTCTTTATTCATGCTAAGATCCTTAAAACCACACACTAAATATTCAATATTGGCTTTATCAAAGTAGATTTTCAAAAAACTTGCAGTAAAAAAATATTTTTGTAATTTAGGCCAATTCACCTAGACGTCTGAGGGCCAAGAAAAATTTGTCTGAGGGCCACATAGTTTGGACATGCCTGCTATAGAACATGCAGAGAACCCCACCCTGTTAAATAAAATACTCTTATCACTGGGCATAGACACTCCATTAATTACATTTAATAGTGGAGCAAATCATCTGATTTTAATTAGCACAAAAAATACAGTGACCTTTTTTGCATGAACAGATGCATAAAAACATACACCAACAGCTAAACTTGTAAAGTAACTTAATAGTGAGGAAATGTAATACTTAATATTGCACAAGGCATTAAGTGAAATGCAAGTAGTATAAAATTATAATGTAAAAAGATATCTTTACATTGTTCTCCTTTTAACATAACACATTTTTAAATTAGTTTTACTGATTGAACATTAGACTGATCCCTTAAATTCAGTAATATGGTCTTCGAGGGTTGTTCTGCAAAAAAAAAAACACAATTATTCATTAAATCAGAGTGTATTTTTTAATGTAAACTTCAAATGTGTGTTACCAGTGGATTAGGCCTGAAGCGGTAGGCAAGCATCATTCGCTTTCTAAAGGCGTCATATTCATCGTCACTCTTTGTAAGCTCTGCTGGACGGTCAATTCCCAAACCTGCTCCATCTACAGCAACAGTTCCCCTAAAAAGAAACAAACACAAAGTTAAAAAAAATAAAAATGAAAAATTCAAAGCATCATTTAATATTTTGTACATTTACTATCGCTATAAATATGTGATTACTTGTTAACTGGTGCTTTAATTCCTTGACCCTCACTTCCAAGGCCTTCTCCTTCTTTCCAGCCCATCTTCATTAGCATTCGAAAACCTAGATTTTCCACTGTCAATTTAAACTCTTTGTATTCTGAGTAATCAGGGTCTCGACCCTCCTATGGGTAGAAATACATCGTTTAGTCCATATGATAATAAAAACTGAAATTTTTTTTTATTTAGAACCTTCAGTGCTTTAAATGTCTCCATAAATTTTTCTAGCTCTTCGGGAGGCAGAAAGTCACCAATAAAGTGTTTTCCTTTGCCCATTTCAGTAAGAGACTCGGCCCACTCTGAGACCACAGAAAAATTGTTTAGTTGTTGCTTCACAAAACAAAAACTATGCTATGAGTCTCACCGCGTGTTTTCTCCATTTCCATCTTCCTGAGTTGGTGCTCCCAGGTCCCATCACTTTGGTCTACCTCTTCATCACTATCATATTCATGTTGATGCTCTCTCATAGCTTTTTCCCACATCACCTGCATGTCTGCCATTGCACGCTTGTGTTTCATAATCATATCAAACATTTCTTGCATCTATTAAAAAAAATCTCTTATGTAACTCTTGTTTTTTTCAATCTTGGAGGATGTGTTTAAGCCTTGTTCGTATACCTCTTGCTGTTCTTTTAACTGTTTCTTCTGATCTTCTGATAATTCAGTGACTCCAACCAAGCCAAGAGGCTTCCCCTTGTTGTAACCAAGACCCTTCAACTCTTGGGCTGAAATTGTAGAACAGTTAGTAAGTATACCAATGATCCAATTTAAACATTTATTCAATTTCTGTTTCTTATAAGAAGCTGCAGTTGAAGGAGCTTTTTATCTAAGCATGTAAGCAGAGAACACGGTGAGGTTTTGTCAACAAAAGTCACAATGCTTATAGTGAAACAGTTCATTCAAGTAATTAATTTTCATTTTAGATTATACATGTATTATATTTACTTAATAATAGAATTAATGTTTTAATACCAGAGAGTGAAGGTATGTTGGGTTGAGGAAATCCCACATCCTCTGGAATAACAATAGATGGAATAGGCAGCTGTACTTTATCATCTTCAGACCCCCATCGACTCTTTCTCTTCCGTTTAACAGGTGGGGTGTCTGTGCTGGAAGAAGGGGAGTTCAAGGCCGATGGATGAGATGAAGGTTGGAGCTCTGGTGTTGTTGGTGAGGCTGTATAAGAGACTGCACCACTGTACTCCTTTACTTTCTCTTTGTAAAAGCGATAGGCTGGACTTTGATGATCATACAAAAAACTGTAGAAAACATAGCATTTATTACAACAAACTGCACATGTCAATTGATTGTATTGTTTTGCACCAGCTGACCTGAAGGCAGGGTTGTCTTTATTGCGTCCCACAGCGATGGCTTCTACCTCTGCTCCACCCTCTGCCACAAATCTAGCCAGCTTCTCAGCGACTTGTTGGGTTTCGGGGTCCACTGGGGGGGAGACTTTAAGCATCCTATCAGTACTTGGACTCAATTCACACTCAAATACTGCATCGTATTGAACGTGCTCTCACACACCCTCTAGAGCCAATAGTATAAAACAAGGAAGGAAACATGATGGGCAAATGTTCTAACAATGTTTTAATAAACAAAAATAGTGGGGCTGCATAAGCAGAAATTATTTAATTTGGTATGTTTTGTGATTTACGCACCACCTTTAAGCACAAATAATAATGACAATAACATAATAAAAAAGAAAATTTAAATTTGCCCTTACCACAATCAGAAATATTGTCAGGTTTTTGAAGGCCCCTTTGTAGTTCTGCAATTTTTCTTTTAAAGTACAGATAATCACTGCTGCCCTTATCATATAAAAATCTTTAGAAGCAAAAACAACCATGATTGTTATTTAATATTATAAATCTTTGCTGTTAAAATTGCGAAATACTGACAGATTGACTTACGAGAAAACTGGATCATCTTTGTAGTCTTCTCTAGCTTTTCTCTCAAGATCAGGTCCCCCTTCAGCCACAAAAGAGGCCATCTTGTCAATAATGAGTCGGGTATCAGAATCCTCTGGGGGAGAGACTTTAAGCAGGCTATCAAAACATTGTTTTAAGATTACCAATACACTGCCAGGTACAAGCCAACTGTGCCATGGCAGTATTGAGAAGATGTAATGAAATATCCATGCCATGGAGGGTCCCAAAGTACTGTAAATAGCACAAGTCCTAAATTACCTTTAATCTCTAAAAATCTGGAGTAATCCGCTTCCTCATCGTCATCTTCACCCTCTGAGGAACAAAAGGCACTTGGTCTTTGGCTCAGAATAGGGGTTTTCTTGGACTGAGAGAAAGTCTTGAATTGGCTTATCATGCTACTGACACCAAGTCCTGGTCGCTTGCCAAAAAGAATACTTTTTTTTTGTTGTACATTTCCTGCTGATGAAGAAGAGCCTGAATTGTTTTTGTCATTGGGAGCACCTAAAAATAAATGAATAAATAACTGGATGGCTCATTCCACTGATTTGAACAATGTCAAATTGAGTAAAATATTGAGTAAATTATAGTTTAATTGAGTAAATAAACAAACCAGAAACAGGAGGCTTGTCTTTCTGCATCTTCATAAACTGCTGCAAAAAGCTTCCATCATTTGCAAATTTGTTTGATGAGGCAAGATCAGGAGAAGTAGAACAACTGACAAACAAAAAAAGAGAACAAAGATGACCCTTAGAAATCTGTAATCAAATACATTCTTAAATTCTGAAATTGAGACAAGTGTAAGCAAAAGTGAAGTGGAAAATAATCCCATTCCAAATGAGAAACATTAAATGGAGAATTAACATTACATTATTTGGTCATTTAATGTGATATTATATAAAGAAACTAAGTGCTTTTGATTAAGGCAAAATCCTTAAAGAGTTTTAGGTTTGACTGGAAAATACTTGAAATAGTTGACCCACGTAATAGTTTTTCATTTTATCTACAGCTATGTTCAAACCACAAATTATACTATTTTTGTGAAAGTCAAATACAATTTTGGGACTAGAAAACAATATATTCTTTCACCACTGATGTAGAAAAGCAAACTGCCATTTCTGCCTTAAAAATTCATAATCATTGCTTCTTTGTTATAAACACTACTTACAGTTTGCAAGTATTCAGATCTGATGTTATCATTATAAATATATCATGGTCTACTTCATTTTTGAATCCACTTGCCTCCATTCGGGAATACTGAACATAACGCGCTTACATAATACTAAGGACTACTTACGCTGACTGCAAAGCTTTATTATTAATGTTAGTTGTCTTTGCATTCATCTGTGCCTGTCGTGCCAGTTTTTCCTCGATTTCACGTTTTTTCTGCGCTATGAGCTTTTCCTGGCGCAGGATATTCATGTTCTGTTTATGTTTCTGTGCCTGTGTCATAGGAGTCTTCGGCTTCCAACATCCATGTCCTAAAAGACAGACATTCATCTAATGAACAGCTTAATTTCAACTACAATATGTACAGCAAGATCTTACATATATTTATTTAGCTTTTAAAATGCAACAATGGTAAAACTTTGACATAAGAATGGCTAAGCTAATATGTTAGCTAACGTCGCGTTAAGCGAATAGATTTGGATTTTTTTTTTTTTTACATGTATAGTTAAGATTTATTGAATTGACTATTTGAAGCGTGTTACCAGGTTTAATCCCTTTTTAGTT